TTGCAAAGAAAAGGTTCGACTTATGGAGACTTCGAATTAAAGAATTTTTTGTAATTGTATTTAAATTGCTATTTAAACCCTGTGACACTTTATTTAGTGCGAGTTATAGAAAATTCGAGTTATGGAAAGACAAAGAGAGAACACAAAAAAAAAAGAAAAACAAATTTGCACTAAAAATTATTTTATAAAACAAAATATAAATTAAAAATGAAATATTTATAATTTAATTTCATGGTAGTCGTAAGCTTGTATAAACACCTTGTATAAATGCGCTAGTTTCTTTTACTAAGTAAAGATTGTTTTATCTAAATTGCAATTATATGAGTACTTGTATTTGTTCTAAAGTCAACAACACACAAATTAAATATGCCAAACAAAATAAACAGTGGAGTAGTTATATATTATTTAAAGGTGAATTAAAAATTGTATATATAAGTGAATATATAACAAAATTTAAACAAATAATTTTTATTATATTTTTATTATGAATCTCTTTATGGACTAAGAGAACCCCACTAATCTCGCCAGTTTTAAATTCTTACAAATAAACATTTTATAAAACACACTGACAATAAAGATAATATAAAAATAAAAAATAATTTTTTGTTTATCAACAAATCCACAAAAAAAAATAAATAAGTAAACACAAAATGCATACACAAGACAATTAGCAATAAATAACAACAACAAAATGTTTAGCAAAAATGACAAAATATGCAAAAAAAAATTATTTAAAAATTAAAATCAGCATTTTCCATACTTTGGTAAATTAAAATCAGAAATAATTCGGCATTGCTCTAATTATTAAGTTCAAAACTGTATTTATTATAAATTTTTAAAATTTTATGCGTTGAGATTGGAACTTTATAGTTCTCAAGCAATAATTATTTAATATTTTTTGCGATAAAATTATTTTTAAATTCTCGTTCTAAAATGGTTTTATATGTTAAATTAAGCGCACTTCCTTCTTTCAACAAAAAACAGCAAATTCGGTCCAAATCATTTATAATCAAATAAAAAACAATAAAAAATATTTGCGAAACAAGAACTATGGGGAACTGGGGGAAGTGCTCCGATGAATCATGAACAGTAAGTAAATTAATATCAAATTATTTGCTCGCAAAATCGCTGTTCTCAATAAAATCACACACAACTATAAAAATTTATATCGTAATAATAAAGTAAAATATTAAATACACAATATTATGTAAAGTAAACATTTAAAACTATAAATAAAAAATAAATTATATATACGAAAATAAACTTATTTGTATTGACATAACGTACAATAAATGAATACATTATTAGTTTGGCTTTGTGGAAGTCTAAACACGCTACACACAAAGTTATTGAGAATATATTTAGAAAAATTTTCAATAAAAAACAGAAAATAATATTTTAATATTTAACAAAATATTGATAATATAATATGGATAATATAATGTGGCTCTGAGAAAACTTTTCAAAGTTCTATGGTACATTAGGACGAATAACATTCTCAGGGACATCAAGATTGATCCCATCAAAAAATATATAAAGGATATTTCTTGATATAAAGGATGCCTTGAAATTATTTGCAAAATCTGACAGACTTACCAACACCACGTTATCAAATCTCAAAATGGTTACAGGCTCCTCGGAGAGGTATGGAGATCTGATTATTGCTTAGTCTGATGAAGTGATAAACAATAATCTAGTCAAGGTGTAGAGAGGGGTTTTAAAAAAACCTCGAGTTAAAAAAGAGTATAAGTGCTTAAGTGCACTAGCTCAAAACAGCTTCAACATAATATACATAATAATATATTATAGATAATATAATATAGATAATATAATATAGATAATACATTGTGACCGAAAAGTTTTCGGGAAATTTTAAATAAAACGCAAAATTCTTAATCTTCATCAATATTTATTTATTTATATCTCCTATAAAATATCTCCATAGAAAGCGATAAGGCAGACAAATGCAACGTTTTCTTCCAATCACAAAACATTTTTTATAGGCGCTTTCCGGTATGGCTTTGAGTTCCCTCTGCGAATTCTGTTTTACGTCTTCTATGGATTCAAAACGCGTTCCTCTGAGTGGTAATTTGAGGTTGGGAAACAGGAAAAAGTCACACGGTGCAAGATCAGGTGAATACGGTGGCTGTTCGATGGTATTTATTGAATGTTTGGCCTTAAAATCGTTGATAATGTTGAACAAATTGAGGTGAATCGGAACAAGCCGGGCGTTGACACGTCGCATACACAAATTGTCCACCAAAATCAAACGAGCCATCTCACGACCGATGCCTAGCTCTCGTGCTATCTCTCTAACACTCACATGAGGATTTTTGAACACGATTTCCTTTGCCTTTTCAATGTTTTCGTCGGTGGTAGAGGTCGAAGGTCGTCCAGAACGCGGCATGTCTTCGACGGTCGTACGACAGTCCTGAAAGGCTTTGTACCACTCATAAACTTGAGTTTTCGATAAAACTGATTCCCCATAAGCCTTTTGTAGCATTCGCAACGATTCTGCACACGAAATTTCGTTCGAAAAACAAAATTTGATGCAAACTCTTTGTTCAATATTTTTTTCCATTGTTTTTTTCGCAACGCACTACTGAGGTGAACTGGTTTCAACAGCTGCCGTAAACGAACTGTCCGACAGATCGCGCTCATTTTTTTGGCATAGTAATTAAGGACAGTGCTGCCAAACTACATAAACTTTAAAATATCGGAAAAATATGACAGCGCGGCGAATTTTAAATGAAATTTCCGAAAGCTTTTTGGTCACAATGTTATATTGGATAATCAAATACTAATATATAAATACGTTCAAGTCCTTAATGGTATAAAATTAAATTAATTCCATCCGAAGATATACAATTTAGACACAATTGGAACTTAAAACTCATTGAATATAATAAAGTACACACATATAACTATTCCAAATACATGTACAAAATATTTGTATTTGTATTTAGAATTATTTTGTTAAATAATGTAAGAATTATAATTACATCAAATTACATATTTTTATATGTTACATGGCTACAAGTTAAATAGTCCATTCGATTAGTCCAACTCTTGAGCATTTTCCAATGCTTCAAGAATTACTGAGTTGTCGGCTTAAACTAATGACTACATACCCCATAAAAAGAAATCAAGAGGACAGTTAAGTAAACCACTTCTGGAAATAAAGTAGTCACCAAATTGATTTTGCAATAAATCGATTGTTGAACGCATTGTATGGCAAGTTGCGCCGTCTTGTTGGAACCAAATGTCATCGATGTTTAACTGATTAATTTTTTTAAGCAATAACTCAGTGAGCAAGGCTGGATCGCGCTCGCCATTCACCGTAATGGCAGCTCCTTCCTCATTTCGAAAGATAAAAGGATCGTTGATGCTGCCAGCGTGTAAACCGCACCAAACATTCAATTTTAATGGATGGCAGTTTTGCTTATGGACGTAGCTATTTAACTAGAAATAAGCTTAATCATTAAATACAATTCTTTGACAAAGTGTTTTATGAATTTCGCTAACATACAGTTAGACAACACAGTTAGACGTTCTCAGCTATCAAACCATAGTTATCGATATCGATAGTTCTCATGCAGGTGAAAAATCATGGTCTTTGTGTACTCTTCATGGTCTTTAAACACATAGCACCAATGGGTTATATTAGGTTTGTCAACATGTACCATATGTAATGT